TTTGGAACCGGGGATCGAACTCAGGTCCTTGCGTTTGCAAGGCAGACAGTGGAACCACTGAGCTAAATCCCTGGCCAGAAATAAACCATTTGAATCCTCAGCTTCCGGGGATGACTCAGGAAGCCCTGTGAGCTGCTCTGTGTGCCTGGGGGTGCAGGGCAGACCTGTTCAGGTAGCGAGAGGAGCTGGGTGTGGCAGGTGGGCAAAGGCACCTGTGCTTGCTGCTGGGGACCTCTGTGGCCTCCCACTGCCCCTCCCCAGGAGCATAGGGTGGGGACATGGGCTCCCATGCTCTCTTTCCAGGATGTTCTTGGCTCCAGCTTCCTTTGGATGACAGTTGAGGTTCTGTGGGACCCAGGGAGAGCAGATAAGTTTCACAGACCTGACAAACTGGATTTTTAAAAGCACAGAAGATAGTTTAACGGTGGCGTCAGGAAGGCTCTGGTCTCACCCACTATGCCTGCCGGGGTGGGTGGGGCTGGAGTTGCAGAAGGCCCCGTGTGGTCCCTGTATTGGCCTGCAGGAGCGTTTGGATGAACTTGTGAGGCCAGCAGCAGGGCCCGGGTCTCCTGAGCTCTCTGTCCGGGGCTTCTCCCTTGACAAGGAGCAGTTTGCTTCTGTCTCCTCCCCGGCGCGTCCACTCAGCCTCCCGGGCTCCTCCAGGCCCGTGAAGACCTGGGGGTGCAGGGAGGAGTGAGTCCTGCCTTTGCCATTCGCAGACTCCCCAGAAATCCCAGGAGGGGAAATCCCAGGAGGGGCTGTACCCGCCTTTAGAATGCAGCAGGCAGAGGGACGCCTGCCTGGGGACCCGGGTCCTAGTAGTGGTCTCTGGCCCCTGGGAAGGGACTTTCCGGACTCGGCCTCCTGCCTGCAAGGCTGCCGGGGCATGGATCCTCTACCCCTACAGACTACGTGGCCTGGGCCGGGCACTTGGTTCTTAGTATCATGGAATCTTAGTATCATGCTGTAGTCATTGGCCTCCATGTGCTGCAGCATTTGAAGGACAGGATGAGAAAATACGTGCCCTCTCCGTGCAGTGGGGACCAAGCCTGGAGCCCAGCTAACCAACCCCTCATCCCCTGTAGACAAATAGAGTGCAGGCGCTTTGCCGGCGTGTTGAGCTCCGGAGGTCACTCCCGGAAGCCCTGGCTGTGGCGGCGCCCTGTGGCCCGATGTGGAATTGCACCTTGGTAGTGGGAGGCGCTCCTGCCTTTTCCCCTCTGTTGCTGTCTCTCTTCTGTTGTTTTTTCTCCTTCTTCTGTCACCTGTAAACTTGGCTCTGCAGCTGGAGAGGCTGGTCCATTTGCCCCTGGGGAAGCACTTTTTACAGGCACGATGATGTCTCGAGTTGCAGGGAAGCTGTACCCCTGTGTAAGTGGCTGCAGGGAGCGCAGGTTCAGAGCCGCTCTGGCAAGTGGTGGCACCGGGGGACCTGCCGTGGTCAGGGAAGACAGGCGGGTGCTTTGGCCCCGGGGTTAGGGGGGCGGAAGGGCCGTGAGAAAGTGCAGAGGCCACTGCCCTGGCCTCAATCCTTGCTCAATGGATTCTCGGAAAACACCCACAGCCGTCTGTCCCTCCTGTCCCTCTTTCCGGTCCAGGCCCCGGTCCCCCTGAGATGGGGGGGAGGGACAGAGACCCACACGTGTGCTTTTCCCAAACTGCATCCGGGAGCCAGGCCTTGCAGGCCGCCAGCCCGCCCCGGGCCCAGGAGATCCTGAGCGCGCACACTGAGCCGGCACAGTCACCCACAGACCCAGGTTACCCGGAGGCCTGAGGGTGCAGGGAGGCAAGGAGACCTGCCCGGCCGCGGCCATGCTGCGGGACTGTACCTCCCTGGGACCTTTGAGGTTTCATCTAGGCTGCACTTCCGGTTCGGGGTGAGGAACTGCGGGCCTCCCCTTCCTCTTTTCCCCAGCTTCCCTTCTTCCTTTGGCATCCAGCCCTGCCTGGGCTGCGATTCCCAAGTGAGGCCAGGAAAGAAGAAAGCTGCTGGCAGGCTAGAGTGAAGCTGGAGTTTGTCTCTGGAGCAGGGTACATCTCTCGGGGTGGCCTCTCCCCTGCCCAGCTACCCAGAGGGTTGGGGGGTGGAGAGGACTGGCTTCAGGCAGCTTCCCAGCAGGGTGCGGCAGAGCCTGAGGACCAGCCCAGCCCTGCCCCAGGGGAAGGCTCTGCCCTGCTGATCCGTTCCCTGCAGCAGCAGCTGGGGTGCTGTCAGGTGGCTGTACCAGGTCACCAACACCAGAGTGACCTGGCCAGGGGAGTGCTAGGGTTATAGGGACCGGTGGGAGCAGCAGATGGTGCTGGAGACAGGGCAGGCGGGCTTGTGGCTGGGCTAGAGGGGGAGGCAGAGTAGATGGTGAAGGCTGGGAGGCCGGAGCCTTCTCCACAAGGCTGCTGAGCCACCCCTCTGCCTGCCTCTCGTGGGCCTGGCGCCCCCATCTGCAGCCCTTGGGAAAGCCTGGCCCCACAGTACATGCAGCACTGAGATGCTCCCTGTCCCTGCCACCCGCCTTGGTGGCCCAGCCGGCCCGTGAGTACTTCCTCGTGGGAGCCCCAGTGCAGAGTCCTTTGACCCTCCTGGACTCCAGGCTGCCAGCTGTGTGGGGGATAAACATTCCAGAAACCCCCAGGTGACCCAGCACTGGTGCGAACCCAGGTTTTCCTAGGGAGCCACCTGGACCAGCCCAGGTGTTAGATGCACCTCAGTCGGAACACCCTGACCCTGGGGTACGTGCCAGCCCCCACCCCTGTCCTGACGGCCCCTGGACTTTCAGAAAGCCCCTCGCAGGACAACTCCCACAGCTGAGGCTTTGTCCCTCCCACCGTGTAGGAGGGATGGCAGGTGGTGAAGAAGCGGCGGGCCACAGGAGGTCATGCCGAGCACTTGTACTGGTTGGTGACACCCTCAGTTGTCAGTGTGCATGGGCTCCCCAAACTCTTCATCTCTGCTTCTTCCCTTCCCTCCCTGGTTTAGGTTCCTCGAAGTCCAGAAGCCTGGGCTTTCCAAGCTTCTCCGCATCCTGGCCTTTGCGTACCCCTACATCTGGGACTCGTTCCCCATCTTTTACAGGGTAAGGGTGGCGGCAGCAGTGGGGTCCCTGCGTGCCTGAGCTGCCGGGGGCCAGGTGACCGCACTGGGCAGTGCAGGACCCACAGAAGTAGAGACCTGGGAGGCGGGTGTGCCAGCAGCTGAGGTTGGGTGAGGGGAGCGGGGAATGGGCTGTGGAGGTGAATCTCTGGTACTGGCTGCCAGTCCCGGGGAAATTCTCTGTGCCCGGACTTCTCCCATCTGTGAAAGGTTATCATCATGCTGCTTCCGGCTCTGTGGCCCATTCTGAGATACAGTGTACAGCGCCAGCTGGTGGCAAGAGTCCAATCTATACATTATTTTCTGTTATCATCAGTTAATGTATGATTAGCATTGAAGAAAAGGTATGAATAAGGGTCTCAGAGGACAGAGGGAACCGGTGTGGTATTGCACGTCTATAATCCCAGCACTCGGGAGGCTGAGGCAGGAGAATCACTGCGAGTTCGAGGCCAGCCTGGGCTACATAGTGAGTTCAAAGCCAGCCTGAACTAATAGCAAGAGCCTGTCTCAAAATAAAAATAAAACACAAAAGAGAGTTCAGATGAGAATAGACAACTTTCTGCTCTACGGACTGCTATTCCCAGAAAGAGCAGCAAAATATCCAGTATGATTTTTCTTTTCCCTTCCTTTTCTCCCTCTCTCCCTCCCTCTCTTTTCTTTTCCTTTTGTAATTGAATAGCCCAAGGCACTTGGGAGCTTGTGGGGGTCTGAAGACAGCTGGCTTGGGTCTCACCTGATCCTCCTGGAGCAGGAGGGCCGCTGTCCAGCACCGAACATCCTCCCCTGGGCCTGGGCCTGGGCTGTGGCCCCTGCAGGTACCGAGAAGGGAGAGGCCTGAGGCTCCACTCCCTCAGGCCTGCTGTTTCCTTACACCTGCAGCTCCTCCTGTTCCCGGGGGTCAGTGCACAGAACGAAGCCATCTTGTACCACTGGAAGCACATGGCCATGACCCTCCTGGCCTCCTTCTTCTACTCCGCTCACCTGCCTGAGCGCCTGGCCCCCGGCCTCTTTGACTACGTGGGTGAGTGGGGCGGGGCCACTCTGACACTTGTGGCTGCCAGGAGGGGCTGGGGTCGGGGAGGACCTGCAGGGGCTGGGGCAGAAGCCACTTTGGACGCCCTGTCCAGCCAGATGGTTCCTTCTGGCAGGTGGTCACCAGAGGTTCTGGAAGGCCCCAGTCCTTAGTCAGTGGCTCTGCCTAGGTGGGAGCCCCTGTCACACCCACAGCCAGGCCCTGTGGGAGCTGAGGGCCCAGCCTGGTGGCCCTAGGCTGGCTACCTCACTCCTGTCAGGCAGGCTGAAGGAAGCCACTTTCCTCAGCAACCGCAGGCCTGCTCCTAGGACCTGTGGCCCTGTCTCTCTGCAGTCCGGGAGAGGCTGGGAGGGGCCAGAGAGTCACTGCCCCCCCAGGAGAAGTCACTTCACTGTGGGACACACAGACTTGGTGGCCTGTGGGCCCCAGAGTTTAGCCTGAAGAAAGCCAGGGTGGCACCTTGAGTGAGCCTTCTTCCCAGGGACAGAGGGCCCCTGAGGAACACGTCAGATACCCTCTCTAGAGGCGTGGCCCTCCTTCCCGCTTCTGCTCCTTGGGCCAAGCTGCTGTGGTGGGTCCCTCCTAGAACCTTTCTGGTACAGCTTTTCTTTTTGCTCACCAAAAGAGAATCCATTTTTTTCTTTTTTTTTTTTCCTCCTCTTGTTTTGCTTTGTCTTGCTCTTTCAGCTTTTTGAGATAGGGTCTCGCTATGTAGTTCAGGCTGGCTTTGAACTCACGATGTAGTCCAGGCTAGCCTTGAATTCTAGGTTATCCTGCTGCAGCCTCCCAAGTGTTGGGATTACCTGGGTTATATTGCTTTTTAAATATATATTAATCAAGGTGTGTTTTATGGATTAAATGACCTCCCACTGCCAAGTGTACAACTCAACAATATCTTTAGTCTGTCTACCCAGTTGTACAGTGATCATCTGACCCATTTTAGAAGGCCTTCACACCCCAGTGCCACCCCTCATGCCCTAGGACTGTGGGTCCCCGTCCCCACCTTTGCCCGGGTCACCGCGCTAATGTTCCCCCTGTCTCCAACGCACTGGCCTCTCCTGAACACTCTCCGTGCGTGATGTCTGGCGGGCGGTCTTAGCATCGCCTAGCATCGCACCCTTGGCTGAGGCTGTCGCGCGGTGACCGCCACGGCCCTCGTGTGTCTGCCGCAGGTCACAGCCACCAGCTGTTCCACGTTTGCGTAATCCTGGCCACGCACATGCAGACCGAGGCCATCCTGCTAGACAAGGCGCTGAGGAGGGAGTGGCTGCTGGCCGTGTCCCAGCCCTTCTCCTTCCTGCAGATCGCCGCGGCCCTGCTTCTGTGCCTCATCTTCAGCCTCGGCAACATCATTTATTTCTCCGCTGCTCTTTATCAGACCCCGGAACCAGAGTCACAGAAAAAGGAAACATGATTCAGGCCGGAAGCTTCCGGTCCCCGGTGTCACTTTAGGGGCGACTCCCCGATGCCGTGAGCTGGGGGCGTGGTTCTGGCTCACAAAGGTTGAAATATCTCCAACAACTCCTGGGTGCTTTTGAATGGGTTCGCGTCAGAGGGTATTTAACTCGGAGATTCCTCTAAGTGGGCACTGGTTCTGAATGTGATTTTAAAATGGGCTCAGTAAGACCTTTTCTCTCTTTAATGTGGTACTGAGAATTGAACCCAGGGCCTTGACACTGTGCTAGATCGTGGCCTTCTTTAAACTTTTTTACTTTGAGACAAGAGTTAAATTGCCCAGGCTGGGTTTGAACTTGCAATCCTCTTGCCTCAGCCTCCCATATTGCTGGGATTGCAGGCATGTGCCACCACCTGGCTGCCTTACTCTTTAAAAGTCGAAATTCGTTTGGAGGACTTCATGTAACAAAGCCTCTTCCTAGGCTCCCGGAGTGGACTGGTAGCTCCTTTGGGAGGAGAGGAAAGGTCCCTAGGAGAGCTTGGGAAAGAGGGAGGAGGGTGAACGAGTGCCCTGGAGACTGGGAAACACTCAAACTTCAGACACCACCTTGGCAATGGAATGAAGTGGAGCAGAATCCTCTTCCCACAAGTTCATTCGGCCTTCAAAGCTCGTTTCTATATCTTAATGGATTTGGTGATTCTCCTGCCTCAGCCTCCCGAGTGCTGGGAATTCTTTTAGGTTAAATCCACAGCCTGTGGCTGGGTGACATGTTGTATTATGCCCTATCCTCTTGTTGCCCGTTTGAGCTACAAAGCATTATGCAGTGCCAGTCAAATGTGCTAAAGTGTGGAGGTGGATGAATGAATCCCAACTAGTTGTGTTCACTGTCAGTTGTAACCCAAGAGAAGCACTGTGTTTGGAGACGCAACACTGAGCCTTCCAGATACGCTGCTGAATTTAGTGTTCCCATGTAGAGGATGTTAGAGACCTTGCTAGCGGGACAGCCGCATATGGCATCCTCAAGCTTTACTGTGAGTCAGAAACTCCAGGTAAAGCTTGTGACAAATGCAGAATGCCAGGTCGCCCAGGGGACTCTGCACTACTAGATTAGATGTAGGTTTTGGAGGTCATCTGCCCGGAGCAGGTCCCTCCGATGGTTCCGATGCAGGGGGACCAGGAGCCTAACTTGAAGTCACGCTAGTGTCACACATTCCCCAAGGCACAGGCTCTGTGGGCTTCGCAGGGTGGATGCGAGCTGTGGCACCTGAGCACCTCAGGGTAGGTCTCCCACTTCCTTTCTCCATAAAAATAAAACAGAAGGCATAAACGAAGCTGGAGATTCTGAAGGAGGGGTCTCCTGTATGCAATGTCTGATACCAAGTACTGTGTCTTTTTTTGGGGGGTAACCGGGGATCAAACCCTAGCCCTTGAGCTTGTAAGGCAGGCGGCAAAACCACTGAGCTAAATCCCCGGCCCCAGAACTGTCTCAAAAGACACTGCAGAGCCACAGCCTTGCACAGAAAAATGCTCTGCAAGGATGTCGGATCTGCCTGCCCAGCCTTACACGGATGCGTCTCTGTTATTGATCCCTGTAGCCAAAGATTACTGTATCGTTTTTGAGAACCAGGTATAGAACCCTCCTCTGCTGGCCTCCGAAGGTGTCCCCTGGCCTTGCCCTCCTGGCACATGCACATAATAGATCACAGCACCAATGTCCCCTTAGCAATGCCCTTTCCCAAATAAACTCATTATCTTTGGAGAATCTGTTGTTTGAATTGACAGTACATGGGCTGGGATTCAGCTTTGAGGGCTCTGTGATCACGCATTGTCCACTCCTCTAAGGACAACTGACAATTCATGTTGGATGATAGCGGTGAAGAAATATGATTTCATTATTTTATTATCTGTTTACTTCCTCTGGGAGAAGGGCAGACTGATAAAATTATATGGGCTGCTACATTTTGGGTACGTTAATTGAAAGCTTCAGGATGAATTCTGCTTTGGGGCGATGATCAGATATTGTTAGTATCCCACACCAGCAGGATCTGTGGGCTTCTGTTTCTTCTCACTACAATTCCATTTTCTTTTTCTTCTTAGACAGGGTCTTGCTATGTAGCCCAGGCTGGATCGTCCTGTCTCAGCCTTCTGAGTGCTGGGATTATAAGCCTGTACTCCCATACCTGGTTTATAACTCTAATTTTATAGTGAAAACATGTATAAAGTTTAGACACTCCTTTCTAATGACAAATGTTTCAAACTCTCATTTAAAGGTAATAAAATAATGTTCTCAATTTAGTTTAGAAATAGCTGGAAGATTGTGGCTGATCAATGTGAAGGATTTCTACATGATTTAATCTTTGCTTATGCTTTTTTAGCATGCTTGAAGATGAGAATAAAACAGAATCAAAAGAATAAGATCAAGTGTTTCATAATATTTTCTTATATTTGGTAAACTTTAGTCCTATTGTATGCTTTTGGACAATGTTATCAATTGCAATTTTCTTTTAAAATTTTTGGATTTTTGAGACAGAGTCTCACTGTATAGTTCAGGCTAGCCTTGAACTCACTATGTAGCCCAGGCTGGCCTCGAACTCATGGTGATCCTCCTGCCTTGGCCTCCTATGCACAAGTGCTGGTATTACAAGTATGTACCAGCATCCGGGGTTTTAGCTCACTGTTGCTGCCACCTGCCTCGTAAGCACAAGCTCTCAAGTTAGATCCCCAGTACCAAATAAAACAAAACCAAATATGTGCCAGCACTTGGCTAGAATTTTATAATGTGGAATAAGAATGAGTTAACAAATACTAATTATCATTAAGTAATAGACATTGATGTCTAATAGAGGTATATAGTTTTACTCAAGCCATCCCACAAAACCAAAATTGTTGGCAAGGGGTTGGCTGAAGACATCACTGGAGATTTTTTTTGTATGTATGTATGTATGTATATATGAATGTATGTATTTTTTGTTTTTTGGAGACAGAGTATCACTAGGGAGCCCAGGCTGGCCTCGAACTCACACAATCCTCCTGCCTCGGCCTCCTGAGTGCTGGGATTACAGGCGTGCGCCACCATCCCTGGTATGGAGATGCTCTTTATGCAGCAGTTCTCAGTTCTTAGAAAATGTCTTGAGCCAGGTATAGATAAATACAGGTAGTCGATGCCTATAATCCCAGCACATGGGAGGCTGAGGCAGGAGGACTGCTGTGAGTTCAAAGCCAGCTTGAACTACCCTGCCTAAAAAAAAAAGGTCCCAGTACAGTACGGCATGTAACACACTCCCATGTCACAGCTGCTCACCACGGCACTCTCAGAAAGCACGGGTGAGGGAGATCCTTCTTTCCCTTTTCCTAGCTTTAGAAACGTGGTCCTTGTGATGGACCCTGAATACCTTTGAATGAGGCCCCATTGGTTAATCTTCCTTGCTCATTTTCCAGTACTCAGCTTGTAGAGAATAATGCAGTCTTTTTTTTTCCTTCATTATTAGGGATTGAACCCAGGGCCTCATGCACGCTAGGCAAGTGCTCTACCACTGTGCTACATCCCTAGCCATTTTTGTTTTAATTTTGAAAAAGGGTCTTGCTAAATTGCTGGGGCTGGGCATGAACCTGCATTTCTCCTGCCTCAGCCTCCCCAGGGCTGGGATTACATGAGTATACTGCCACATCCAGCTCCATCTTGTTTTGAAGAACGAATTTGTGGTTGTTGGTAGAATGCTGTGGGAAATTTAGATGCTTTTTGAGTGCAAGTGATCTAAATATTTGATTCCATGCAGGCTTTGAAGTGTTTTTGTTTGTTGGCAGAGCGTGACTTCCTGGTCAGTGGTCACAGCAAACACCCACTCCCAATGGGGACATGTTTCACCTTCAAGTGTGTATAAAGAAAATAAAATAAAAGAGTGCATTCATAAAGTCATCCTGATTCCTTTTGGTTTGGTCACATTCTACCTGCTGCGCTGCAGACATGTGGGACTTGGACCCGGAAGAGATCCCTGTACCTGTGACCATTGGTGAGCCATGGAACTGGGCATCCAGACCAATCCAAACCTCAGGTCCTCCCTTTCAGAGCTGGCATTCTGGCTGGGCAGAGATACAGGCATGGAAATTCAAAAAAGCCAAGAGCCTGGCAGAGGGTTTCGGGAAGGCAGGGCAGGGCAGAAGACCTGGATGTGGCTGGTGAGATGACACCTGAGGAGAGGCTCCAGGGCAGAAGGAGCCAGGCTCGGGGTGAGGGGGATGCTGCAGGTGGAGGAGGCAGGTGCTTCACAGCCCCCAGGCTGGCAGTACGTGCTGCTTACAGAAATCAGGCCAGCTTCCTGAAGTGCTCCGCTCCGGAAGACACCTGGATGACTGGAGCTTGGAAGAATTCTGAAATGTCCCTTGCTGTTTTTCCCAAGGGCTTGCTGAGGGGCTTCTCAGTCCCACATGGAATGCTTCAACTCAGAGACAGTGCACTCCAGGCGACAGTTATCTCTGTCCCATTCAGGCCAGGGCATCTCATCTTCTGTCTTCCTGTTAAGCCACAGGTTTCTACAACCTGTTGAACTTTTGCCTGTTCCAGAGTAGAACCAAAGGACCTCAGAGATCAATGAATTCAGGCTGTCTACACTTTGCTCATAGATGTCAAATACACACACTGAGGCCCAAACTCACTGACGTGCAAGTACCCAGGGAAGGTCTGGGGATCCTAGGGTTTTGAATTTTAAGCAAGAGCCCCGGTGATTCTAAAGATCAGAGTTTAAGAAGCACTGATAGGGCTGTGGATGTGGCTTAGGGGTGCGGCCCCTCTCTGGCAAGTGCAAGGTACTGAGTTCAATCCCCAGTGCACCCCCCAAAAAACCCCAGAAACACTGAATATAGTTCACACATTTTCGCTGTTTTGTTTTGTTTGTGATACTGGAACTTGAACCCAGGGCCTTTGCACTGAGCTATATCCCCAGCCCCTTTTTTTATTTTTGATACCGGGGATCAAATTCGGGTCCTTGTGCTTGCGAGGTAGGCGGTGGAACCACTGAGCTAAATCCCCGGCCCTCACACATTTTTAATGTTAATTTTTTTAATGGTAGCAAAGTTTTATTAAAGGTAGGAAAAGAAACAGGCTCCGCAGAGCAAGTTTGGGCCAAGCAAAAGTAGGAAAAGGAGTGCACCCTACAGCATAAGACTGGGCCACTTTGTAAGGGAGAACAGAGCGGTGGCATAACCCAGTTTCTAAAACAGAATTTCAGACTTGGAGAAATGCCACAGAATAAACCAGGTGTGAGGCACCCCTGTAATCCCTGCACTCTGGAAGGCTGAGGCAGGAGGATGGAAAGTTCAATAGCTTGGTTAATTTAATGACTTAGAAAACTGTGTCTCAAAATTTTTTGGGGTTGGGAATTTAGCTGAGTGGTGCCGCCACCTATTTTGTAAGCACAAGGTCCCGAGTTCCCCCACCTTCCACCACCTCCCCTGCCCCAACAAAAAAATTTTTTTAAGGAACTGGGGATATAGCTCGGTGTGAAGATCCTGGGCTCAATCTTTAATACAGCAAGGGGGGGGGAAAGGGAAGGAAGAAAGGAGGATAATGTTGCAAAACTGTTCAAGAATTTAAGAATGTGCAGGTACTTTTTACCCTAGTTTTGGACACTTGTAACTCCTTCAATAGTGCAAAACTTGCTCCCACTAACCACAACATATTTCCTTATTTGCTCCATCACAGAATATACTGCATGTTTTAGGACTGCCAATATCTGTGTGAAAAAGACTACCAGTTAGAATTCACTGTATGTTTCAAGTTTCTTTTGTCTTTGGCCTGGGAGGTGTAGTGTAAATAGTCTAAAATACTTGGATGTAGTTATTTCCCCTTCTATGTGTGAATGTTATTCATTTGAAATACAATTCAGATCGCTTGTTTCTGTATGAATTTTCCAGTCTTTCCCTAGTTTTATGAGTCCATCTTCTGAGTATGTAAAACAAACTCAGCTGACCATTGATTTTACAGATGACCCTGGGGGAGATTCCTGGGAAGGTGACACAGCATTTCTTCAAGGATCTGCCCTTGTATTGGTTAGGGTTCTCCAAAGGAAAAGAATCAGTTAAAAAAAAAATATATATATAATTATGCAAGGGGATTATTAGATAAGCTTACAGGGTCGGAAGCCGATGTCCACAGGGGCTGTCTGTGGGCTGGAGTGTTAAAGAATTGCGCAGGTACTCAGCTGAAGAAATCAAAGAACAAGAGGCCTCACAGCCGCAGGAGAGTCGCTGTTGAGAGTCCACGTGGAGAAATGAAGAAGCTGGAGCTTGGTGGAAGCAGTGGCAAATATCAGCACGAAGGGGCGGTTTTCAAACGCAGGCTACTTCCTCCTCTCCAGTTCATTCCGTCAGGCTATGAGCCCGGGGATGGTGCCGCCCACAACCAGGGGGGCGGGGATCCCCGTTGGTTTGCTGGCCCACAAGCCAATCATTTCTGGAGACGCCCCCACAGACACACCCAGAAGCGGTTACTAATCTCCTAGGCCTGGTAAATCCATTCAATTGCCAGGTCACGATTAAGCCACACAGCCCTTCTTCCGCATCTCCATCATACCCTCCCGGCTAGTGTGGCCGCGTCTTATTCACATCTGTCACAAGCTCCACAATCCTACTTCTGAGAAAAATCTGTCTACCTAAAGGCTTTTGTGCAAATGATTGAGCTAATTTCATGCATAATCACAAGGGGTGGAAGCACCCAGGTGCCTGTCAACTAATGAATGTGGCGTCAAGTATTCACACCAGGAAGACGGCTGGGCAGTACAAAGGAGAAAACTCCAAACCCTTAAGCTGAGTGAAAAAGATTCTGGACAAGACAAACGGCAGGGAAGGGACTCAGGAACGCGACGGCAAGGGCTGGGAGTAGGGGAACGAGAGGCACAATGGGATTTTTGAGTATGCTAGAAATATAATTTAAGATGAAGAAAGAAATTAAAGTTTGTTACTTATATGTACCAACTCTCCACCGTGAACATAATCATTATGTACTTCAAACATGTAGTAATGAAAAAATTAAAAAGAGTAAAACAGGATAAAAAGTATATATTTGATTGCGGTGGTGAGAGAATGGCACATGTTTGTCAAACTCATAGAAAAACACACCTGAGAGGAGTTTTCTTCAACTGTGCCTGATTCCGCTTGCTCTTTTTGCGTCGTCGCCTAGGAGACGACCGGCCCCACTTCTTACTGCGCTGTCCGCCCCCTCGAGTCCCCGCCCCTTCCTCGCGACCTGGCACTGATTGGTCCGTTTGAACAGCGCCTGGCGGGAGCGCGTCGGGACTCGCAGCGTTGCCCCCGGCCTTTCCGAGCTCAGCGCCTCCTCGGCCGAGTCCGGTGTCGCCTTCTCGCGGCGTCTTCCCTCCATCGCCCGGCCGAGCCCCGAGTCTCCGGCGTGTGGGGCGCACGAAACTGCTGCCATGGAGGCAATGTGAGTTCGGGGCCGCGGGAGGGTGGGGGACAGGTGGGACCGGGATGGGGGCCGGGCCTGCACCCCCTCGTGCTGCGCCCCTAAGTAGGGCGCCCCGCTGTCCCCTCGCCGAGACTCCAACCCCGTTGCTCCTGACGCCTGCAGACCTAGGTCCCCACCGCCATGGCCGCTGCCGGCGAGGGGCGCCCGAAGTTGGGGTTCACAGGCCCCAGGGATCTGCTGGCCAGTGTCATCTGTTTACCTGGCGTTGTCACCGCCAGGGTTGCTACGACCCCTCTCCTCCTCGGCCGATCGCACTTTGCAGAGGAGTGAGGATCTAGGGGCGCCCCGAGTGCAGCGGTGCTGGGGGACCCTCGGCTCCGGCGGGCGGTTTCTGTCCCCGGGAGCTGGGCATCCTGGGTCCCCGGCAGTGGCCTCAAGGCCCAGACAGTTCCTTTCTCCGGCCCTATCTCTGCCCCCGGGCGGCCCCGCCCCAAGTTAGCGCCAGCTTTTCTCCCGGGTTCAGCGACCCAGCGGGGCGGAGCGCAGCGGCTTTCCGAGTTGAGGAAGGACTTCTGTGAAGGAGAGGGTGGCTAGTGGCTTGCACAAGGACAGTCACTTTATTAAGAAGCTAAAATAAAAAAAATTTTTTTTTAAATCTTCGGTACTGGGATCAAACCCAGGGCCTTCGCACTGAGCTCCATCCTCAGTCCCCTTTTATTTATTTATTCTTATTTTGAAGCAGAGTTTGCTAGGCTGGCCTCGAAATTGCAGTCTTCCTTACCGCAGCCTCCTAGAATGCTGGGATTACAGGGATGCACCAACATACTCAGTTAAAATCTTTATATTTGAAAAGGATAAATTGAGTTAATGCAAATCAAGAACATTAATTTGCTTCTGCTTCATCTGGGAATATGTTGAGAAAAATAATTTAAAAATCTGTGGTCCAAACCAATCATTTTACTTTAGTGTTAAATGGTGGTGAAATAAATGAAAATGACATTTTCTACTTTTCCTACTTAAGAGAGCAAGGTGCCTAGTGCGGTAGTTTGAGAGAGTGATAGGGCAAGAGAGAAATTGGCAGGTTTTTTGAGACAGGGTCTCATTATGACTGACCTGGAACTCACTGTGCAGCCCAGGCTCGTCTCGAACTCATCCTCCTGCCTCAGCCTCCCAAGTGCTGGGATTATAGGCCTGTACCACCACGCCCGGTGGCAGTTTGAGGTCATAGTGTTGAGTATTCAGTGAACAGTTGTTCTGTGAAAGTATGCTATAGACATACATTTTAAGAGTACATTCTCCCTTGTGCATTTTTGTGATTCACTGAGATTAATGACTTGTCACTGTTCCTGGAAATGACTGTTGACATAATATGTGCTTGTGTATGCATATGTCTCTAGTGGGAAGTGTGGGCAGTTATTTGTAGATAAATTAAATTTGTAGTGCTTCTGTAGAACTATTGCTCAAGAAAACGTGCAGGTTCTTTAAAATATAGAACTGTTAAAAATAAGATACCTTGAGTGCCACAAATAGATGCACCAGCAAACTTTAATTATCTTTGGATTATATATACCATTTCCTACTGCAGCTTCTTATTAATGTTATTTGGGATGGAGTGTTTTGGAACTGCTAAGGAATAATTTTATAAGCTTGAGGAAGGTTGAGGTCTTTGTATGTTAGGTTGAACTGAGTTTTTTTGTTTTTTTAATGGCCAGGAGAGCTAAGACACCTAAGAAACCTGCAGTGAAAAAAGGATCCCAGAAGAACCTCAAGGAGCCAGTTGGGGTAAGGTTTCACCTGGCTTGATGCATGTATGTTCTTTCTTTAGTCCTTTTCTGTCTTCTGTGTTTGGGAGGGAAAGAGGAACAAGTGTGGAAATGGGCTAAAAAGAGTTCATTAGATTTACTGAATTGTGTCTAAGTGGTTCTAGCTGTGTTCCTTTGTAGGCTTAATTAAGTCTTGGCAAATGTAGTCATTGGTTGTTGACTACATACTAGGTAAAACTAATCAAGTCTCCGCCTGGGTTTATTTCATCCTACTTGGGATGGGGGGAGACTTTGTGCTCAGACTTAAGTGCCCTCTCCCACTTGCTGTGCTAATCCTGGACACGCTTCCAACAGAGCCCTGTACTCCAAGTTTCATAGACTCATAGCTTGATTCACTCAAAGGCCTCCTCCTAATTGCACGTGATTTCAGGCTTGGGAACTGGCTTTTAAAATAACATGGAAAATAACAGAAGATTGGTTTGTTCAGAGATATTTTAAACCCCCCTCCCTGCCCGACCACTGGAGTGGGACAGTAGGTGCTTGGGGACACAGTTGGATAGGTTTTCCCTAACGTTCCCCCCCTTTTATTCTTTCTGTATTAAGTATTAGGTTGAGCTGATAAAGTTTTAATTGATAGCCAATTCCAAGAATTCTAGTAGCTTTTACTTACAATTTAGAAAGATTTCTGTTAGTTGCAAAGCCTGGTCATTTGTGCACAATATAATAGTGAAAGACAACTGGTACAATGTGATACTTTTGCTATCTAGATTTATTTGGATTTTATACATATTGTAAATCTTTTCTCATGTCTAATGTATCTTGTTCCATTCAACAATCTTGAGTAGCAGATTTTGCTTTTCATGGCTCCGAGTTTATACTGTCTCATAAGTCGAGGAACTGAATGTTTGTTAAAGGAAGGAATTACTGGGAAGCTTCAGTGAGAAATGTGGCTGAATAGCAACCTCCCATTTTTCCAGGTGTACTGTAGGGTGCGCCCACTGAGCTTCCCTGACCAAGAGTTCACCTGCATTGAGGTCATCAGCGACACCACAGTGCAGTTCCACCCTCCAGAGGGCTACTACAAACTGAACAGAACTGGAAATGACAAGGAGGTAATTCCTACCGGAACCAGCTTGTTTTTACCTGATAGAGTTTCCCAAGTGGCTGTTCCATTTTTTAATTCAACAGGGTTTTGTATGTGATCCCATTTTCTTGAAATACGTATTTCCTTCCTTATAAGCACTGTATGTGAAGCATTTGATTTCCAGGATATACACACATCCAGTGTGCTGAGTTAGAGGACTGCTTTCGGGGTATAACATTAGGGAGAGTTCAACGGGCAATGACAGAATCTTGTGCTGGTCAGTTTTACATGTACAGTTTCAGGTGTGGAAATTGAAGTAACAGTTAACAATTGACGTTGTATATTTGTATTGACAACAACTCCCTCCTCTTTTTAAAAATTTTTTTGAGATAAGGTCTCTGTGCAGTTCAGGCTGGCCTTGAATTCATGGTTGGCCTTGAACCCTGCCTCAGCGGCGCAAATGCTGGGATTACAGACGTGTGAGCCACCGTGACCAGCTCTTTTTCCTCCTCCTCCCCTCTCCCCTCACCTCCCTCTCTTCTTTTTCCTCCCTCTTTTCTTCTCTTTTTCAGTACTAGGGACTGAATCCAGAGCCTTCACACTTACCTACATCCCCAGCCCTTTTTTATTTTGATCCAGGGTCACAAGCACGCCCTCCCACACCTAGCTTGTGTTGCCCTCGTAGGAAATATTTGATATGCAGTATGACACCGAGCAAGCTCAGAAATGCAAAGTTGAGTTCAGCTGGACCAGTGTTGCACTGAGCTAGTAGCTGGAGGTAGATCTGTAAAGGTAAGACAGTCCTTGCCCTGAGGGGCTGTACAGTGTAGTGGGGACGGGTAGCTCTTTTACAGCAAGTGGAATGCTGCAGGTCCAGGAGAGGTTGGAGGAGACTCAGGCTGACCTTGCTCCTTCCCACTGGCACGGATTCTTTGGGCAGCTGTGGCCAGGACCCGGCCCTTTTGGAAAATACCGTGGCCTCTGCCGCTACATTTGTTGTGGGCCTCTCTGTCCTCAGCACCTCGGCAGCACCCTTCTTCCTGCATCCGCTCCTGCCTCCTTCCCATTCTCCCTCTTCCTCTTCACCGCCCTTTGCGGGCTCTCGTTGAGCTTCTAAATGCAGAGGTGAGCTGCATCCAGGGCTGTTTTCTTTTTATACTTTCTCTGTAATTTCTAGCCTAAACCTTTTCTTCAGCTCTGAAGTTGAGTATCCAACCACTTACTTGTTGGCTCTGCTGGATGTCATATGTTACATGTCCAGAAAGGAACATTTGATTCCCCTTCCTTTTTTTTTTTTAATTTGCCAGGATGCTGGTGATGTTTTATTTTTGGTGTCTTTTGAGACTGGCTTCAAACTCTCAATGCTCCTCCCTCAGCCTCCTAAGTGCTAGGATTACTGGTATGTGCCACTGAGCCTGGCTCAATTACTTTCTCCTACCTGGTTTTTTCTGAGCCTCTAGACAAATAATTTTTTAATGTTTTAGTCTCTTCCATCATGTAGAAAAGAAAAAAATGGAGTTAGAAACCATCGTTACTCTTATCTCCTGTCCAGTTGCCCTGGGCAGAATCCAGGAGCTTAATTTTCAGATCCAGTCCTTGACAGGTCCTCTGCTCAGATCCTGGCAGGGGAGATCCTTACAGGGCCACTCCAAAGTAGATCTTGAAGTGGTCCTTTTGTATCCAGCCCTGCTGCCACTGCTTTACCCCCTTAGTCCCGAGACCAGAGCCTCTACTGTAAAGAAGAAATAGGTTTGCTTTTCCACCTTTGCTGCATGACAGCTGATGCTGCGATGAAGCTTGCGCTAGATGGAACCAGCTGGGTGAGTTTGAGGACAGCCTGTTAGTGAGCTGAGCCCATGGGACACGGGCTGAGGTGCTGCAGCCATGCGGGTGCTGGCAATGTTTCTAAATGCCAAAGTAGCCTGGTGACAAACAGTTCTCAGGTGCGCCCTGATTTGATGACCTCGTGTTGAGCTGACTTTGACCACACTGTGCTGTGGCCCAACGGGACTGTCTGCTTCTCTTGGCGATCTTATAGGGTCTGTTTCCAAAGAGCAGCCAAAATGCTTTTTTATTTGTACCGGGGATCAAACTCAGGACCTTGTGCTTTCGAGGCAGGCGGCAGAACCACCGAGCTAAATCCCCAGCCCTGCTCTTTTAAATCATAAAGGAGATCTTACCACTTTCCATTTAAAACCTTTCGAGGAATAAAGTCTTTCTAGGGGCAGAAATGCAGCGGCACGTGCCTCCTGTTTATCTGTCCTGAATAGCAGTTAGCACTTAAACAGTCTTTTGGGCTCATCAGATAAGACACAGCCCTGCCTACAAGTGTCGCCTTAACCCTGGGTCTTGTCACTCGTGGACCCTCCTGAGCACTGGGATTGCAGGTGTGTACCACCCCATCTGTAGTCACACTACACTTTAGCTACTGCTGTTCTAAATGACTTTTTTAAAATAAAGAATAGAATAGTGTATGAAGTAATATTTAAACATTTTCACAAGTCTATGACTGTGAATGTAATACCTTTTGATCTTCCTTGTCACTTAATTAAAACAAAATCACATCAGTCTTGTAGTAGACTTAAAACTTTTCTACACACTCTGCAGGTGTCAGGACTGAAAGAAAGTGTTTACCAGTTTTTAAACTGATAGAACTTAAGTATGTCATGACTGTGTTAGTGAGTTGCTAAGAGACCGAGGGTTGGGAATTCAAGACCATTCACATTTTTGCCTTCTGTGTCTGAACTTTTCATAATGAAACATCCTAGGTATAAGCATGTCTAGGCTTCACAGAAGTGTGTTTTATTTTCTCTGTCCACAGACTCAGTACTCCTTTAAGCAAGTGTTTGGTGCTCACACCAGCCAGCGAGAGCTTTTTGACATCGTGGCGAAGCCCTTGGTAGATGACCTCATTCACGGCAAAAATGGTGAGATTCTTGGGAGTTTGCTGGGATTTCCCTATTCCTTCTTTTCTGATACAATTTTTTTGATATTTATATCTTTGATGTCTGTTTCTCTGGAATTCAGATTTGTACAGTGATAAACCTGCCATTTTTGAGCAGGTTAATTTTTGTGTTTTTTGCTTATGATGGAAGGCATTTTAAACACAGGACCCTAACGCATTGTGACTTGCTGCACCACAGGTCTTCTCTTTACATATGGTGTGACAGGAAGTGGGAAAACTCACACCATGACAGGTTCTCCAGGTGAAGCAGGGCTGCTTCCTCGGTGCTTGAAGATGATCTTCAACAGTGTAGGGCCATTTCAGGCTAAACGCTATGTAAGTATTGGTCTTCAGTGTTGTGCCTATTTTAGTTTAGCTTTTGATTTTTGTTTCCGGCTTTTTGATCTCAATATGTAGTTCAGGGGGGCCTTGAACTTACTGTGTAGCCCAGGCTGGCCAAGAACTAATGGTGATCTTCCTGTCTCGGCCTCCTTAGTGCTGAGATGACAGGTATGCACTACCACACATGGCCTGGGTTGTGCCTATTTTATACAGGGCCAAGATGCCTCTGGATACAGTGGTATGGGAAGAGCCAAAGCATCAGAGCCATTTTGAAATTTAAATGTTTAAATGTTACATGGCTCATTTCTTAAATGTGTTTTATACTGTTTAAGTCAAAGTCTAAAAAGCATGGTTTGATTTTTGCCCCTCCTTCAGGTTTTTAAATCTAATGATAGGAATAGTATGGAAATTCAGTGTGAGGTTGATGCCTTGTTGGAACGTCAGAAACGTGAAGCCACACCCAACCTGAAGACCCCCTCTGCCAAGTATGTAAGCATATAGTTTCCCATGGGAGGGTTTGCTTAGATTATGACTTAGAGTGAATAAGATTGCCTCTTCATTTTTGTGTTTTTTAGACGACAAGTAGATCCAGACTTTGCAGATATAATAAATGTAGAAGAATTCTGCAAAGTAGAACAAGTGGATGAAGATAGTGTCTATGGTGTATTTGTCTCTTACATTGAAATATATAATAATTACATATATGATCTGTTGGAAGAGGTGCCATTTGATCCAATAAAGAGCAAGTAAGTATCAACGAGAGCCCCTTAGCTCTTCACCTAGGGGAAGTCACTTTCCCTTAGCGAGCCTAGAAATGGGGACAGTGCTTGCATTGTTTTGAGGATGGAATGAAGTAACTCACACATTGTGTAGTCAGTGTTCACTAAGCACTTTTATTACTAACAAGACAGTGGTTTTAAGGAACCAGTGGGCTCAGAAATATGAGGAAAAAAAGTGACCGAATATTCATCTTGGTGATTAATTTGAACTCTTGGTCTTCAACTGTGCTGAGTAGGTGCCCAGATTAATTATATAAGGAAGCATCCTGTCGATGCAGGCTGGGGCTCCTTCTTGAGGACCTGACACTTGGCACGGGGAGTTTCATCGCCTCCTCATCCCTCTGTCCTGGCTGTCTCCACATAAGGGGTCACAGGTTACAAGCAGTTCTCTGACCATGGTTGATTAACATGAAGTGACATTGCGTTGTTGCTCTGCCAGAGGTCAGGTGCCTTAGATTCCCTGGGGCTTTCCTGGGTGAAGCAGAAGCCCAGTAACCATCAGGCATCACAAACAATAAATCTTTGTCTGTGTCTGAGCTAACTCTACCCTTATGTCTAATGTTAGTATGTATCTTGTTCCTATGTGGAAGGTTTTGTTCCCCAGCTAAAAGCTGGCCTTAAATGCCATCTTTATTAGGGCCTCTCAGTACATCCAAGATACACAGACCTGTGTTTTATATTTAATTTAACGTGTATGAGCCAGGTATGGTGGCGCACTACTGTAATCTGAGTACTCAGGAGGCTGAGGCAGTAGGATTGCTGTGCGTTTGAGCCCTGCCTGAGCTACATATCAGAACCCTGTCTCAAAAACACAAAAAAGAAACAAAACAAAAAACAAATTTAGCTTGTGTGTATCTCCTTCATGGAGCGTGTTGGAGAAACGGCTGGATTTAGAAAACCATTAGACTGAGAACAGATGTCATTATATTCATTTGACTTCTCTGGTTGAGGTCACAGTTGATAAAGTATTTGTGTGGCTCTTACTGAATCACATTTCAGTGAAGGAACTTCCTTTGGGGTCCTTAAATTTACAAAGTAGGTAGGTAAGTGAAATATAAATGTTTTAATTCTAGATGTTTATATGAAGAAAGACTTTCCTATTTTGCTCTAGTTAAACCTTTCTTAAATCAGAACTTTACCAAGGAACTTGTTTTTTGGATGCACTATTCTTTACCCTTGGAGTGTTAGTATTAACATATTTAGGCTTATAAAGAAATGTGAGGGGTTTAGATGTTTATATGAAGAAAGACTTTCCTATTTTGCTCTAGTTAAACCTTTCTTAAATCAGAACTTTACCAAGGAACTTGTTTTTTGGATGCACTATTCTTTACCCTTGGAGTGTTAGTATTAACATATTTGCGCTTATAAAGAAATATGTGAGGGGTGTGTGTATGTGTGTGTGTGTGTGTGTGTGTTTTCTCCACTACTGGGGATTGAATATAGGACCTTGGCATTTTGCTATATTGCCAGCTGTCCTCCCCACTTTTTAATTTTTTGAGACAGGTTTTGCTAAGTCACTAAATTGCTTAGACTTGACTCAAACTTGCAAGCGTCTTCCCTCAGCCTACCAGAGTGCTGGCATTACAGGTGTGTACCACTCTATCTGGTGACACTTTTTATATCAAATTGCTGGTTCTACTATTTTCCTGTTTGTTTCACACTGCTAGTTGTCTTGATGGCAGTTTGTTTGTTTGTTTATTTATTTATTTATTTATTTATTTTGGTACCAGGGATCAAACTTGAGACTTCGTGCTTGTAAAGCAGGTGGCAGAACCACTGAGCTAAATCCCCGGCCCAGACTGCAGTTTTATTTATTTATTTATTTATTTATTTTGGTGGGTGTTTGAGACAGGGTCTCACTATGTAGTTGAGATTGACCTGGAACTCATTATGTATCCCAGGGTGGTTTCGAACTCACAGTGATCCTCTTGCCTCAACCTCCCGAGTGCTGGGATTACAGGCGTGCGCCACCACGCCTGGCCAGACTACAGTTTTGAGTGTCTATTTTCCTACACTTTGGTGATGTCATTCATTACTTCCATGTCTGCCTGTGTGCCACATTTTTATTCGGTTTATTTAAATTGAGATTCTTTTCAGAAGACCCTGTCTTGGTTAACTAAGTTATGCAAAGGAGGGCCATCAAAAGTGCCTGTTTACTTTGTAAAATGAGTTTACAAGGGTGCTTGTTAGCCATTTGATTCATACTGACTTTGTTCGGGTGGTGTTAGACCTGCTTCTCTGAGCTATTAACTTTTACTGTTTTTGTTTGTGAGGCAGGGCCTTGCTTTGTAGTTCAGGCTGGGCTTGAAATTACCATATAGCCTAGGCAAGTATCCAATTTGAGGCAGTCTTTCTGTCTCAGCCTCCCTTGTGTGGGATAATAGGTGTGTGTCACCATGCCCAGCTTGTTTTCAGTTTTTTTAGACAGGGTCTTGCTATATATTCTAGTCTAGCCTTGAACTTGAGATAATCCTCCTGCCTTCGCTTCCTCATTGCTAGGAGTTCAAGTGTGCAGCACCACGCCTGACAATTTTAGTGGTTCTTAATGCAGTGAACAAATATTGCAAGTGGAGGGTTGTAAAGATGCCTCTCATTGTGCTGTTGCTAGTCTGGGCTGAAACGCTGCTGTGGCAGCTGCAGTATCTACCGTATTCCCTTGGTAGGTGGAACAGTTGCAGGAACCCCGGGAGGAGCACCGATGTTGTGTATGTGATGCTGTCATCTCTTGCCTGAGGAGAAGGGCGCAGTTAGGCTAGTGGCTGTGGCATGTTTGCATGTCGTCTTTCACTGGCCCTGGACTCGCTGCTACCTCTGCGCCTTCCTTGCTTCTGGACCATCTGCCTTTGGAAAGAGTGCCGCTGCTGGCACTATCACATGTGAGAGCAGACCAGTTGGGCAGTGCTGCGTGGTGACGTTTAGCCATGCCTGTGGTTGCCGTGGTCCTACTGTGCTCTAGCTTATGAATGTTTAATGTGCTCCATTCGTGAATCAGAGCAAAGCTTTTCCAACAGAATTGCCTCCTGTTACCTTGTTAGTAACTAACCTCGCCTATGTGCCCTCAACCTCGTGCTCTGGCATGTCTCCCGCCAACAGTGGAGTGCTGGGCAATGTAGTTCTAGTCCTCAGTGAACACATCAGTGTCTCCCAGCTAGGAATCTAACCTTTTTCTCTTTTCCACAGACCGCCGCAATCTAAAATGCTGCGAGAAGATAAGAGCCATAACATATACGTTGCAGGATGTACTCAAGTGGAAGTGAAATCTACTGAGGAGGCTTTTGAAGTTTTCTGGAGAGGTGAGAAACACCACAGAAGTAGAAGAATGTAAAATAATGGCTTGAACCCTGCGAATGGGTTCTTTAACTTGACAGCAGTCCTTTTTGATGTATTGGAAAGTATGCACACTGAAACGATGAAGTTAAGGTATGATCAAGGATTTCTCTGTCGTCATAGGCCAGACAAAGAGACGCATTGCTAACACGCACTTGAACCACGAGTCCAGCCGTTCCCACAGCGTGTTCAACATTAAATTAGTGAAGGCTCCGCTGGATGCAGATGGGGACAACGTCCTGCAGGTAAACTGTAGAGTGTGGGGTTACTCTTGGCCTCAGCCCTCAATTTCTCTAATTAGAGTTTCACTGCAAAGGTGTCATTGCAATAAAGATTGTTCTAGAATTAATTCATACATAGCTGATGCTTCAAAATAATGATTTTTCTCATTAGTATAGTTCTGAGAAGCTGCCTATTGAATCTATGAAACTGGAATGTTGCTATGAAAAGGATTTACATATTTTTAAAAAAATCTCAGAATAAGAATGTGCAATCGATTATTTTATCTTTTTGTATGGGGAAATTTAGTCATTATTTTTCAGTGTCAGCAGTTTACTTTTCAGCATAAGTGCAATCAGGAGGAGGCCGGTGCTTTAAATGGCTTACCATCTGGCAAACAGCCAGCGGGGCCCACCTGCGGACCCCTATTACTGCCAGGCCTGGCATGCTTTCTCTTTAGCATTGGGAATTGAACTCAGGGCCTGGTGTGCACTGGGCATGCTAGCCAGGCGCTTTGCCACGGAGCTGCCTCCCTAGCCTTGGGCCAGGCATGCTAGAAGGCTTACAGCAGTTATTAACGTGTTTGAGTCTGAGTACACAATTGGTGACTGTAGTCACAGTACTGTGTCATGAAGTTGTGACATCATGATGGTTTGTGGGTGGCAGAAGAAATGATTCTGCAGACTACTAGGATTTGAATTCTTATTCGTATTTATTTACTAGTTGTCTGACCTAATATAATAGAATCTCCTCCTAAGATTGTGTGCTATGTGCAAACCTGTAATCCCAGCACACTGGGAGGCTGGAGCAGGACTGCAAGCTCAGTTCAGCCTGGGAAACTGTCACTTAGAGGGACCCTGTCTCAAATTAATAAATAAAAAAGGGCTGAGAGTGTCTCAGTATGGCGCCTCCGGGTTCAATCCTCAGTACTGGGGCCGGGGTGGGGGGGATTGTGAGGATTAAAGGATGTAATGCTTATAAAGTTCATAATCCAGTGGTTGATGAGTAATCACAATAAATGTTATAGTTGCTTAGTTAATACATTTTAGCCAGAAATGGGGTATAAATCTTCCATTCATACTTGGTTTCCTTTGAATCACTTCACTGAAAAGTGTGCAGGGTCCTAGAAATAAAGTGGTAAAGACTGAGTCCCTGTTGCCAGGGATCCTGAGTATTCTTTTTTGTTGTTGTTGTTGTTGAGACTGACCTGGAACTCACATGTAGCCCAGCGGTCTCGAACTCACAAGCGATACTCCTGCCTCAGCCTCCCGAGTAGTGAGATTACAGACATGTGCCACTGTGCCCAGCTAATCCTGAGTATCTGATATAGAAGGAAGACTAGACAACAGACAAGTGTTGGTTTAATGTCACAAGTGTATTTATCATACGTACGCTTGGAGCAAATGCTCTCCTATAACGTGTCTGCTGCCTCTCCTGAGCATTTTGTATTGTGCAAATACTGCATTCGTTAGGACTTAATGATTTGGTGACTTGATTCTGTTTCAGGAACACTGTAAAGCATTATAACTCATTTTAGGTTATTGGCTTTGTGATCCCTTTCAGGAAAAAGAACAAATCACTGTAAGCCAGCTGTTCTTGGTAGATCTTGCGGGAAGTGAAAGAACTAATCGGACCAAAGCGGAAGGGAACAGATTACGTGAAGCAGGTGGGTAAAGCATCATACTTATTTACTGCAGCTTTCAAAAACTTACATTACCAGTTTACCTACTCTGTCAATGGCAACTGTAGCATACTCATCTTCATTTTAGATAATTTATATGATACCAAACTAGCATAACTAAAGTAATATCACTGACCTTTAAATTTAGCTTCTAACTCATCTATTTGTTAACCCAGAGACCTAAGCACAATGGGGCTACCTGCCCTTAACATGATTCCAAAATGAACCCATTCTTAGGCATGCTGAGTCTAATTGGGTGATGTCTGTGGTTTTAGAGATGTAATGATTCTGTCAGGCTTGCCTTAGCTAAGAAATCCTAAAAAGATTGGTCAGAAATAACAAATATGCTGCTTAGGAATCCTTGTTGAGATGCGGAGAGGACAGATTAGCTGTTCCTAAGACAACTCAACAGCTGTAACACACATAGCCTCTGGACCCAGAGAGGATTCTAGACTCTTGGTAGAGCGAGTGTGGTCCAGAATGGTCATGCTTTGGAGAATGCTCTAGAGAGGAGATTTCAATATGAGGACATTAAACATCTGTGTCTAATGTACGTTCTCTACAAAGTTGGAGAAGCCTGTTGGGTCATTACCTGCAATGTTGCCTTGTAGTGGAGTCCCAAAGGATGTTTCTTATCCTGTTTAGAAGAGCTGCTGTAGAAACAAAGCCTTGCCAGGCATGGTGGCGCACGCCTGTAATCTCAGCACTCGAGAGGCTGAGGCAGGAGGATCACTGTGAGTTTGAGGCCAGTGAGGGCTGCCTAGTGAGTTCCAGGCCAGCTTGAAATATATAGTAAGACCCTGTCTTAAAAAAAAAAAAAAAAGGTGAGCCTAGACCATGCATAGCACTCTTTAAAGTAAGGCATGAAAATCTGATTCCCATCTAGTAGTCAATATGAAGTTGAGATTTTATAGGCACACACAACACACCTTACTGCATTGTTTTCAAATTCTTTCTGTGTACGTTTTCTGGTCAGGTAACATTAATCAGTCACTGATGAATCTGAGGACATGTATGGAGATCCTGAGAGAGAACCAGATGTATGGAACTAACAAGGTCAGTAGCAGCCAGCGGCAACCACTTTTATGGTTTTGTCTGTGTGTGTTTGCCCTGTGTTTTCATATTTGAATATTCTTATAGATGGTTCCGTATCGAGATTCAAAATTAACCCATCTGTTCAAGAACTATTTTGATGGGGAAGGAAAAGTGCGTATGATCGTGTGTGTGAATCCAAAGACCACCGATTATGAAGAAAACATGGTAACTTTCTTTTTTTTTTTTTTGTTTTTTTGAGGCAGGGTCTCACTATGTAGTTGGGACTGACCTAGAACTCACTATGTAGCCCAGGCTGGTCTGAACGCACAGCGATCCTCCTGCCTCAGCCTCCCGAGTGCTAGGATTATAGGCGTGTGCCACCACGCCTGGCTTGTAACTTTCTCTTTTTTATCCCATAAAATCAAGTGGTTTGTTTTGTTTTGTGTTTTTAGGGAAGACAGCTATATGAATGTGAAGGTTGGCATTTTGAACATTATAAAAGTTGAGAACCACTGGATACAGAAGTGAACTAACAACCAATCTATTTGTGCCATATTTAGTGACTTCTCAAAGAGCACCCGGAGATGCTTATCTTTTACAGCCTCATGTGTTTTGTGTTGCAGCAAGTCATGAGATTTGCAGAAGTGACGCAAGAGGTGGAGGTGGCCAGAGCAGTAGACAAGGCCGCATGGGGCTTAACACCTGGGCGGCGATTCCGAAACCAGATCCGAGGAGGCCCAGTTGGAGATGGTATGATGTGGCCTTGTAGCATCTACCCACTGACTGCTTTGGCTCTAAGTTTTAAAAAATCTATTTCATATAAGGCAACTATTTACATCCCTTCTCCTCATAAACCAAATGCAGAAAAAAAAAAAAAAAGTTTAAACTAAAATATAAATGAGATTTCTTTTGCTGAAATAATTTTCATTTTTCAGGCAGTAAGATTATGGCGTTAGAAACACTGTGGCTCCTTGCTCTGGGATCTGATCGCACGTTAAGCTCATTCAAGCTCTTTCTCTCCTGTGTAACCTTTTTGTTTTGTGTGATTTGATCCAGAAGCCTTGGTCTCCGAGGTGGGTCTACAGAGTTTTCCACCTTTGCCTCTGTGTGAGATTTTGGACCTCAATGATGAGCAGACCCTTCCGAGACTGATTGAGAGCTTGGAGAAGCAACATCACCTGCGTCAAATGAAGATCAACGAGTTTACCAGACAAGGCAAGGGCAGAACTGCTTCCAGTCGTGTTACCTCGAGAAATTGAAAGAATTTGTAGTGAACTGGAGTTCTAGGGCAGCATGCCTCTTTCAGGAAGAGCTGTTTTATTTCTATATTCCATAGTACAGAAGGCATTTGTGAGTGAGAATGATAGAAATTGTTCCCCTGCAGATTTTTTTTATATTTTAAGAAACTCAAAAAAAAAAAAAAAAGTGTAGCCGGGCATGGTGGCGCACACCTGTAATCCCAGCACTCAGGAGGCTGAGGCAGGAGGATCACTGTGAGTTTGAGACCAACCCGGCTACATAGTGAGTTCCAGGTCATTCTCAACTACAAAGTGAGACCCTGTCTCAAGAAAAAAAAAAGGAAAAGTGGGCATATTCTACCTCAACCTTTATTTTTTCTTACTAACAGTGATGGGAACAAAGGATTATTGTTTTAGATTCGCTGTCTGTAAAGTGAAGATTTGATTTCTTTGTACCTCAAGTTGTGAGGAAAAATGAAATACAAGAAAATTCTGGGTACCCAGTGAGTGAATGTATCTTGGTGTCTAGCCCAAGGCATAACAGTAACACGTATCTGGGAGTTCTACACTGATCTCAAATCAGGAGCTATTTCTGTTTGTGCATTTGTAAGCATATTATTTACCTGTAAGCCTGGAGAGGAGGATACTGTAGTGCAGAATTAAAGTCTTTCAGTATTAGAAAGGAAACTTCAAGCTGGGCATGGTGAATCACCTATAATCTCAGCATTTGGGAGGCAGGAGGATCATGGGTTCGAAGCCAGCCTGGGCTACACAGACAGGTCAAGGATGACCTGGACTACCTAGCAAAACCCTGTCTCAGGAAAAAAGAAGAGAAGAGATGGAAAAAGGAGTGATGCGTCTGTGAAGGTCTTGTGTATATTTGAGAATCAAACTCCTGATTTCTTGTGGAGCTTGTTTTCCCCTTGTAGCCTGCATCTCAGGGTGATGTTTGATGAAAGCTACATTTTATCTAGTGTTTTCAAGTAAAAGTTGGTTGCATTTAGATCTTTTGCAGTTGGAGTAAAGCTTGATTTGCATGCTTTTATTTCAGCTAATACTTTCAGTGCTTTGTTACAAGAATTTGAAAATGCTGTTAGAAATAAAGAAAACTACAGTCAAGGAAAACTAAATGAAAAAGAAAAGATGATTTCAGGACAGAAAGTGGAAATAGAACGACTGGAAAAGAAAAACAAGACACTGGAACACAAGGTTTGCTCTGGGGTCTTGCAGTGGGGTCTATGCTGGCTGGGTAGTGCTGCTCTCAGACTGGTCTCCATGTGCCTGTCCCTGCTGCTCGTTAGTGGTCACTTGGCACTTGGTCTTCATCCTCTTCCTGGAGATTTTTGAGTTATTAGAAATATTTCTTCCATATTACTAAAAAAACAATCTCATGAAATTAATGCTTGCATGAGATAATGGAAAAGTGCCCATTTGGTGCCTTGAACAGAGCAGATACTCAGTGGATGTGGATACAAGTCACATAGTAAGAGTGCAAACTCAGGATGCCCCTTGCATGTGCTCTGGGGAGCAGGGTGGTGCTGGGCACGGCTCAGCCTCATTTGAGAGTCATGGAGACGCTGCAGGGACACATTCTTGCATTTTACTCTGAAACTTGTCTCAGAAATGCAGTGTTAGGCCTTAATTCTAGGGGAAGAGGATTTTTGCTTGGAGTTAGTTGTGACTTTGTCTTTTAAAATCTCATTTCTAGGAATAGAGGTAGGAATTTAGATGATACTTTAGAGAAAAAGTGGTTTTTCTATGATTTTTCTTTCCATGATTGTGCTTCCATGACCAATTTTGAAAGATGATAGCTATGTGAAATGTTCACATGCTAACTACTGAATATACTGGTCTACGTCCCCAGGTTGAGATATTGGAGAAAACAACAACTATATATGAAAAAGACCGACTTAATCTACAGCAGGAACTTGAAAACCAGAATCAGCAACTTCAGCGACAAATATCTGAGCACTGCAGGTTGGAAAACAGGTTTCAAGGCGTGGTGGCTGAAATGACAACAAAGTGGCAGAAAGAATGCGTGAGTGTCACCCTTCCGGTACTCCTCCCAGAGCTAGGTTCAAGTTACTTTCAGTCACTGTACTTGTGGTATGGCATTGGTTCTTCCAGGGAGAGCTCAGTTTACGGTGATAAAGTAATGGGGTAGCTGGAGGTCTCTGTTTGATGCGACTCAATAGAAGACCAAGTGCCGCTGATCATTTGTAGGACCGTCGCGTGGCAGCCACACAGCTGGAAATGCAAAACCAACTTTGGGTCAAGGATGAAAAACTGAAACAGCTGAAAGCTATTGTTACAGAGCCCAAAACTGAAAAGCCCGAGAGACCCTCTCGGGAGCGGGATCGAGAGCGAGTCCAAGAAAAAGCCACTCGCAGATCAGCTTCTGCGTCTCCAGCTGTAAGTTACCTGTTGGGGAGCAGCTTTGCCCTGTAGAGTTTGCTCAGCTCACAGGACTTTCTTTTTCTTCTTTTCATCTCATTGAATTTATTGGTGCTTTTCAAATATACAGTACAGTTACATGATCTTGTACCTTAACATGACAGACAGATCTTGGTTCTCATTCACAGGACTTTTTATAAATATCTAAGTTTTGTTTTATATTGCATTTCTTAAAGTCCTACTGTAAATTTTAAAAATCTAGTTTAAACAAATTTAATAGCAAAAATTAACTAACAATCCAAATAATTACTTATAATGTTGTCTTCTTGTGCTAAAATGATAGAAGAGTAATGAACAAACAGTTTTTCTGTCTCACTCATTAATTTCTCTCACTTTTTCTAGCTTTCTAGTAACTATATTGCTCAGATTTCCAACGGCCAGCAACTCATGAGTCAGCCACAGCTACGTAGGCGCTCTAACTCTTGGAGCAGCATTTCTGTGGCTTCCTGTATATCGGAATGGGAGCAGAAAATTCCTTCGTACAACACACCTGGCAATGTCACATCTATTGCGAGGCGTAGGCAGCAGGAGCCAGGACAAAGCAAAGCTTGTTGCGTGTCAGACAGAAGGCGAGGGATGTACTGGACGGAAGGCAGGGAGGTGGTTCCTACGTTCAGGAACGAGATAGACGTACAAGAGGATCATTGCTGCAGGGTCAGTGACAAGCATCGTAGCAATAGATTTGATCTTTACTTTTTTGCAACTTGGTTCCCAAAGTTCAACGGAAAGATGGGCGGGCTCCTCCAGTGTGAACAAGGTTGGATTGTTTTTGTCAATTAATTTGAAAGACTGAATCACCCTAAAACTGAGACCTAGCTCATCTGAAACAGCCTGAACACATGGCCCCAGATGTGAGCTCAGTTAGTGTAGGTCAGTTTGGCTCACTGAGAGCATTCTGTGCTTTGCAGCTGCAGAAGTTAGCAAGCTCTGCACAGAACTGGCAAACGGGAAGGCTTCATTCATTTTTCTTGTTATCTTCTTTTTAATTTTTTGGTACTGGGAATTGAACCTGGCCCTGACACATACTAAACCTGAACTTTGAGCGTCTCAGCTCAAATGTAAGTGTCTTAGAGGATGCATTCCACTTTTTTCTTTAAGGTTTCCTTTTCCAAATTTAGTTAAAAATGTTATTTTTTGTTTTGTTTTGTTGGAAGTCTCATTTTTAAAGTTATTTTCTCAAGCTATTCTTCTGAAATATTCTGAATGCAAAAAAAGTTCAAAGAATGGAGTAGTAATTCTTTTCCCCCTTACCTAGACTAACAATTATTACTTTATGTAAACATTCCCCCCTGAATCCTCTGAAATTGTCACAGTCTTTGTGAGACTGCATGTCTAAAAATAAGGCTACTGTCCTACATAACCTTCAGATCCCATCTACTGAATTTATTGAATAGCCTCTAACCTCCCTGGTTATCCCAATATTGCCTTCTCGTCCTTTTCAGCCCATGATATTATCAACGTAACTGTACTGCATGTGCTAAGTAGGTCTCATTAAACTCTATTAATATAGCTCCCCACATTTTTTGATTATGACACTGGCTGTTAAAAGCGAGGGGAGTAGATTGGAAACTATTACTGATGGCTGCTATATCCAAAAAATTGCTTTGAATCTCCAGGCTTTTATTTCAAATTACAAGGGCTTTGCCTGATTTGAGGGTGTTAAATTCGTGTTCATATTTTTTTCTTATAAAGTTTCCTTTGAATCTAAGTAAAGGGACCAAGTTAATATTGTGATTTTTTATATTTAGTAAAATCTTAACATAGCTCTTTTAAAACTTTTCTTCTAAGCAAATTGATCTCATAGTAAATATCTGCTTTAGATTTCCTTAACTTCTGGGCCTGGGTTACTCATCACTAATATAGTGAGGAATCCCAAGGCACCTGTCAGTAGATGCTTCTGAAATCTCCAAGTTCTTACTTTGCAAATTTTGCCTTCAGCCTTTTTAGGGAGCAAATCATGGTGAATAGTTCTTCTGATCAACTCTAGTCAATCCCCTTATTCTGTGACCGTATACAGAATGGAAACCACTCAAGGCCTGGTCATTCCCGGCCAGGAGTAATGAAATGCCTAATTTGGCCCTAGATAGTTAAGAGGATTTACTAGAGGCACTTTAACTTCTTCCTTGAAATCATAATCCTCTTAGAAGTGCAGCAGAAGTTACCTGAGGTTAGTATCTATGTGTCCAGGTTTGTTGGTCAAAAACAACCAGGTGGATTGAACTATATACTGAAGTGAGGAAAAACAATTTATACTTAGGTTAGGAACGCCAGAAGACTGTACTGACCATAAGCTTTCCAAAGCCTGTTTCAGAACATACTACTGTGTAATGGGTTCGAGAATATTCACCTCTGCTAAATGGTCCATCCCAAGGGCCAGACTTCTCTTCATTATTGAACAGACCACGTGAGGAATGCAGTTTCCTGCCTGTGCTGAGGGCGGGCATCTTTAGTGGGAAATTACAGTGGCTGTGTCTTATTTTATCAGTTGAGCTGCGCTGCATCTGTTTTTTGTAACAGGGAAAATGATTGAGTTCTCCAGATGTGCACTGTGAAATTGAGATCCACTTACTTGGCCAGTTTTGAAGGCTTTGGCCTGTGGTAGATGTTTCCCATTTGTTTTTAATTTTATAAACAGGAGATGTTCACATAATTGCTTCAAGCTGTTAACAATATCACGTCTTGGAAATATCTTTTCATAGGCTGAATGTGCCAAATTTAACTTTCCCAGATCATGGCATTTGACTGGAGGCATCTAGTTTTTTATTGTATGACAGAAACTGATTTGTTATTATAGTCTTTGATTCTTAGAGCCTTCATGATGTTATGGAGGGAAACAGTTGGTATATTTTAGCCATTGTTGTACTTTAAATTTTTATGAGGTTCTGAGACTTAAAAATATTAACTGAAAATGCTCAGAAGTTATCATGTTATACATAGGGTTTCATTAGAACTTATGTCCTTTAGCATTTTTGCACGATACAGCTTTGTGAGCTTTTGTTATTATTTTTGTCTCTTTGTCTTAAGGAGTGTTTTCTCTTGTTTAGATACCTAGAACAAGTTTAGAGGTTTTATTGGTCTTACTGATGTTTTCAACTGACTTGCTGATCCAACAAATTGTAAACTGCCTCACAAAAGCAGGGCATATTGATTTTTGATTAAAAAAATGCAAAGTAAATGATTTGTGCTGCACTCCTACCTAAATGAAGAAGTAGGAGAATTAATAGATCTTCTTTCATCCTTTGGTGAAAGGGAGATTCCTTGGTAGAATATGTAACATACAAGCTGGTGTGGAAAGATGTGTGTTGGTTCTGTGTTTAAATAGGAAAAGAATGTTTTAATTTTACATTTAGCTTTGGAAAAGTTTGTTTTGATTCTGTCATCTGCTAACGTAGCCAAGCCTGCTGCACTTCTAATAATGCCTTTCGATTAATTCTGGGCTGTGCTTGTTTCTCAATGCCTCTTCCAACCTGATCAGAACGTACTACCAGTTGGTGTCCGACGCAGACGATCCCGCTCTGCAGGGGAAAGATGGGTAGATCATAAGCCCGCCTCTAACGTGCACAACGAAACAGTCATGCAGCCACAGGTGCCCCGCGCTATCACAGTATCTGTTCCCAGTGAAAAGGCGCTAGCTAAGTGTGAGAAGTACATGCTGACCCACCAGGAACTAGCCTCCGATGGGGAGATTGAGACTAAGCTAATTAAGGTAAAAACAATGTACACAGGAGCAAACACACTGAAAAACCAGCCAGGAGCCATTGCCCTGCTGCCATTTTGATGACACAACAGTCAAGTGGAGCATAACTGGGCGTTTGGTGTAACGTTTTTATTAGCAGCAAATTTAACCATCTACGTTGTAAATCTACTAAATTGGGACTGTGCTTAAATAGGCTTAGATTCACAAGTTTTGTCTAACTCTGATCCACACTGTACTTTATAGTATATCTAGCTGAGTTCTACTTAAAAAGAAAACCTAAGCCAGGCCTGGTGGTGCACTACTATGATGCTGAGGCAGAACTGAAAATCAGCTCAGCCAGGACAATTTAGCAACTTAGCGAGGCCTTCATATCTTTGCCGTTAGTTCAAGATGAAAAGCCCGTGGCGGGAGGAACGCCGTGAGTTCAAGGCTGGCCTAGACTACATAGCAAGACTCTGTTTCAAAAACAAAAAAAAAATAAATAAGATGGGCATTAAAACAAAAACCACTTATGTACATAGTTTTTTTCATAGTTTTCCAAGCTCTTCCATTATCATTTGTATCCCTTGTATCTCTTCATGAAATAGTTAGGTGTTTCTAATAAATAGTAAATAAAAGTGGTATTTTTAGGGCTGGGGAAGCTCAGCGCTTCGGTGGCCTGCCTTGCAAGCACAAGGACCCAAGTTCAATCCCAGTACCAAAAAAAAAAAAAAAAAAAAAAAGTGGTGTATTTTTAATCTCATGTTTACCAGTTCACAGACATTAAGTGATTTGCTAGGTAGTCATGGTAGTCATAGCACTGAAACCACATGCTTTGATTAAAAATTTGGAAATCTTTTGTCTAAATGAAAGTATTTTAATTTGAAAACAATTCTTACAGAAAGTTTTTACAAAAAAACAAAAGAAAGAAAAGCCTGTATTAAAATGTGACTCCTGAAAATTACTCAGGATTTAGCTACCCAAAGCCCTTTTCTGGAAAGAAGAGACTCACCTGTCTATAGAATTTTCTTCCCTTTGATCATGAATGAATGAATAAGAAAACAGACAATCATGAAAGAAAAAAACTTTTCATTTCAAATTCAATTTAGAGGACAGTGCTTAGAGATAGTAAAAAGCAAGACCACACTTTTTGAATGGGAGGACAGTACAGAGGGAAGGACAGAGCCTTGAAATGTGCAGAGTGATGGCAGCTTTCTAGATCCTGAAGTCACGGTCACTCTGTCATTCCCTTTTGAAGCAGGAATTGGCTCTACTGTGCAGACTGGCCTCAACCTCACAATCCTCCTGCCTCAGCCTAACTGCTGGGGTGACAAGCATGTGTCACCACACCTGGCCTGCAGTTTAGTTTTTAAATGACAGAACAAAAAAATTACAGCATCTTTTTCTCCACAATCAGAAATATTTCTGAATACACTGCACCGGGCTTCTGTCAGTGAGGGCAATGAACTCAACTTTATAAAGTGCTTTGATTTGTATAGACTCAGCAGCCCAAGTACCATTTTGTGGGTGGGAGTTTTGATAAAACAGTAGAAACTTGAGGTTAATGTGAAATATGATATGCATGTGTTTATCATTCAGCTGTATCTGAGTGAAACTGTGGACTTTTCTGTTGGCTTTAGGGTGATGTTTATAAGACAAGGGGTGGCGGACAAGCTGTTCAGTTTACTGGTATCGAGACCCTAAAACAACAATCTCCAGGCAGGTGAGTGAGCTCTTCTCAGGGTGGCTGTTTCTTAGCTGTTCATTCTGGGGAGCACAACACCCTTGGGGTGTGTCATGGACTCACCAAAGGTACAGTGGGTTTTCCCCAAGCCTGGCATTTTTCTTGTTTTTAGATGCACACATAACCACCCCACTGTATTGCCCCCCTCCACCTTTTTTCAGTAATCGAAAGCGACATTCATCGTCAGCAGCACCTGCCCAACCAGATGGCATGGAGTCTGAATTGACCGACATAGAGACACGGGTAGGGTGGACAATGACTATCTGCATGCTCAGGAGTATGTGTGTCGGGCTTTTGGCTCTACCGCTGTGGCTCTTCCTGATTTCTGAAGATGCTGCGGCTGATCTCACAGCACCAGTGCAGCCTGGGCCTGTCCCAAACACCCGAGGACACCTGTATTTTACTAGGGCTCCTTGGTGCAGAGCACTGTTCTGTGTGTGGGACAGGGCTCAGGAACAGAGTCAGAGGTCGCAGGGGTAATGAAAGGAATGGCAGACAGGTAGGGGGTCACAGAAACAGGATGCAGGGTTCCCGGGGAAAGAATGCAGGTGCAACCCAGAGGCAGTGAACTGGCCCTGGCTGCCAGCTTCTGGAGAGCTTGCCTTGAGGTGAAGCAAGAGAAGTTCCTAGGATGACACCCAAAGGCCCTTCTGGTCCCAAGGTGTGGACCAAGCCACAGCACGTGCCTGGCTGGAGCTTCAACCTTGGTGCTTTTGCCGCACTGGCAAGCAGCACCTCCAGGTGTGAGAGCCTGAGTCATAGGAGTGCTCAGTTGGGAGGAACTGACTTGTCCTGTGTCTTTCTTCATAGTGCTCCATGGCTGTGGAGATGAGAGCGGGGTCTCAGCTGGGACCAGGATACCAGCACCATGCACAACCCAAGTGAGTCTCCTTCCTCTAGGGCTGGTGCCCGACTGCTCCTCCCAGCCAGCTGGGCCTTGTTCTCCGGGCAAGTGTGGCTCCACCAGATTGCATGGGCCCTGCTGCAGAGTTCACTAGGCACCCACAGTGCTGGGACATCTGAAGGGCTGGGAGGGCCATAAGAGCTGCAGGGGACAGGGACAGGAGACGGGTGGCTCTGTCCTGCTCTGCCAGTGCTCCTAAAGCTTCCTGGAGCTGGGAATCCGACTTCATGGGTCATTCCTTCCCCCTGGCCTAGAAAGGCAGTGTTTGCTAAATACATGAATGAAACCACAGTAGAGAAGGAATCACATCTTTTCTCTCTTCTATTAAATCCATACCTAGGAGTCTCTTCTTTTTCTCTACTTCAGTAAATCCCTTCTTTACAAATATCTCTATAACTTTGTTTCTTGTTTTATTTTTTGAGACAGGGTCTTGTTATATAGTTTGGGCTGTTGAAATCATGGTGATCCTCCTGTCTCAGCCTTCTGAGTGCTGGGGATTACAGGCATGCGACACCATGTTTGGCTACAATTTTTGACTTTTTTTTTGGTACTGGGGGTTGAACTTGGGCCCTTGCGCTTACGAGGCAGGCAGCAGAACCACTGAGCCAAATCCCCAGCCCTTGGCTACAATTTTTAAAACACTTGGATTCCATAGGCAATTTGGGAAATGGTTGCAACAAGTAAGGATGGGAAGTCCTGTTTTCTGGAACAATTTACTTTCTCCCTGTCTTTCTGGTTTCTGAGACAGGTAGGGTGTAGCTCAGGCTAGCCTTGAACTTGCCATCCTTCTACTGCAGCTTCTGTAGAAAGCAGCGATTTTCCAATCTCCTAACAATTGGTTTTGGTGAATTTGCGTGTCACCAATGGTACAACTCAATGCTAAATGCTAGTTTTTCTGTTTCAGGCGCAAGAAACCATGAGTTTACAGTTGCAAAAGAACATTGTCATTGTATACTGATTCCTCCAATGCCACCCAGACATCGTCTTCCGGGTGACCTTATGCAACATCACGGTCCTCAGCTACGTACTACACTGGCCTAGAACAAGCTTCCTCCACGGTTCCAAATCTAGGGTCCAGGAGGCTTCGTGTTTTATAGACCTTGCTGTATTTAATATTAATAGCAGAGGAATTCCTTCTTATATGTATATATATGAACTATTTTTATAATGCTCTTTTGTATATTTTTGTACACTTACAACTACGGTATTTTAAGCGAGTGTTTGTCTTGATAATTAAGGAAGAATATATTATATCTAGAACACACTTCACTTTTTATTGTCTTTTCCAGCTCTTGTCTGATTATTTCTCAAATGCTGCTATTGATTAGCTGCAAGAATGCACTTTAGACATATCTGACAATTCAAACTTGCAAGATAAGGCTGTCAGGGATGGGCCAATGATAAAGCCCTTCTAGGAAGATGTGGAGAATTTCGTGTGTATATATTCTTTGTGATATTCACATATACCGAAAGAATTGAAATTAAAAGCACTGTTAGAAAAGCAGAGCTGTGTGGCAGTTGTTCATTCCACACATTCTCTTGTCATGCAGCACAGGGCCTGGCATTTACCTGGGTCTTCCCAGCTGTGGGATGAATGAACAGAAAGCACTGGAGAAACAGAAGAACTTGACTGTAGGTGACAGCACTTTTTCTGTGTGATAACATCTGTATATCAAGTATGGTCTAGACACTTAAGGAAGAAAGGTGGCCTGAGGGCAACACAAATTAGGAAAAGTAACACTGAAGTTCATGGTGAAATATCCATTCTTGCTTGGGCGAATATACATTTTTTTTTCTTTGATTAAATTTGCTGTTCTTTGTTGCGGGGGGATCTTATATGTAGCTCAGTAATGTCCTGGGAGGCTGAGGGGGTAAGATAACAAATTTGAGCCCAGAGTAGGCAACTTGGCCATTTAGTGAGACCTTGTCTTTAAGGGGAAAAACAAAGACCAAAACCATGGGGACATAGTTTAAGAAGGACCTGGGTTTAATCCTCAGGACCAAAACAAAAACCAAAAATTGTCTTGTCATGTGTTTTTTGGAATGCTTCAGATCCTTAATGGTTAAGTCCTGTTTCAGTTCCTGTAGGGGAGTTAATCTATCCATTTCTTCATTTTTTTTCTTTTTTTTTTTTTTTTTTTGTACCCGGGATTGAACTCTGGCCCTTGTACTTGGGAGGTAGGGGACGGAACCACTGAGCCAAAATCCCTGGTCCTTCCATTTTTTAAATGGTATATTGAGTAGTTGTTTGAAAATAAATACACTTTGTGTGTGCGTGTGTTGGGGGGTATTGGAAATTGAACCCAGGGTGGGATGGTAACACTAAACCCTTTTTAATTTTGAGATCAGATCTTGCCAACTTGCTAAGCTGCCCAGGCTGAGTTCCAGTTTGTGATCCTCCTGCCTCAGCCTCCCAGAATGCTAGGATTACTTTATAGGTGTGTGCCACCATGCCAAGTTTGAAAACTTTTTTTTCCTGGTAACAGGAATCGAACTCTGGACCTTGTGTTCTGCAAGGCAGGTGCAGGGCCACTGAGGTAAATTCTCAGCCCTTGAAAATATTTTAATCTGAAGTTTTTCTTCAGGGGAATGTATAGTAGTAGAATTTTAAGTAATCAATGTTGAATCTTCTAAATTCCCTACAGCAAAAAGGAAAATGCATGGGAAATTGATGTTTTGCTTAAATAGTTTTGAAGAGCTGTGATTGACTAGGGTGATCATTCTCTGATACCCTTTAAAGCCATTTATAATTTACAGGTGAAGAAACATGATTTACTCTGTAAACCCAAAGTCTCCTTATGGTAAAATTCAGTGTGACATCAAAACTTTCCCTTTTTACTTTAGAACATTCCCTTGGTTATCAGCCTTTGATGTGTCCATTTAAATTTAAGGTCAGCCTGCCAAATTCTATTGAAAATAATTTAGGGCCTTCTCATTTGTGACCA